GAACGTAGACCAGATTACTTGAAGAACATATAGAGCGTTATAAACTGGAAGAATGCAAGTGAGATTTACGAAAATGAGTGCCCCTCACCATTTCCCTCAGGCAGAACTTGATCATACATTCATCAAAGTGCTAGGCTTAGTTAATATGTTCAGAAAGAAAATAAGGACAATTGAACCTTTTGGGTGTTGTTGATTTGATGGTTTTGTTCTATGTAATGCAGTAACCGAAGAGATTATTCTGGAATTTAGCATGTGGTATTGTGTGATCTTGTTCCCTAGATATATTGGAGTTCGTTATGCAAGATTTCTGTTTATTTTGTATTATATGGTATAAATGCTCCATAACGTATACAGAGTATATGAATAAAATAAGAGGCCCTGTTTGGTCACCTTATTTTACTTATCTACAAGAACTCACCAAATATGCTGAGATCAACTTGACCAAACACTTTTCTTTCAGAAAGAATAGCTGATTCAATAAGTTCTATGAAAAACGGGATCTAGGTAAACTTAAAAGCTATGTAGCAACGGGATTGTGGAAACGCAGAAAGGGATAGGGGATTTGACAAAGCAAAAAAATATTACTCCTTGTATCTCGTGTATATTCAATAAACTTGACACTAAACCAATTTGCAATTCAAAATGCAAAACAAACCAGGAATAAAACCTAAATTGCAAAGAGTGAACAAGTTAGAGAAGATACACTAACCTTGAGTTGTTCCATAGTGGATGAAGACGTTGCCACGAAGTGGCAGATAGGTGCCACCTGATGACGATAGTTGAAGACGAGGCCGACCTTTCCTTTGGCAGTGCGACCTTAGCAGTCGCCGTTTGTTCCTTTTAGCAGATGCCGGTTTCTTCATTTAGGCCAGTTTCTTCCTTTGGAATGATTGGCAGGCGCCGGCAGCCTCACTTGCCGTAGGTTCCTACCGTTTCGTCTCTGGCCTGTTTCTTTCGTTAAAGAGAATGAGAAGGACGTATGATTTGGGGAAGGAAGGGCCTATTTGCAATATTGACGTTTTTAAAAAAATATCTGGACGTGGATTAAATAACGAATCAGATTATGCCAGCTTAGGAACGCACCAAAACATCCTCTAAAGCAGATGCACCATAAAATTTTCCTAAAAAGTTTGCTTGACCTTTACTTTTTATATTTGACGCTGACTATACGACTCTCTGTTCCAAAGTCTAGACCAACACAGAAAGTAATAAGAGTAAAAATACAGAAGGCTCAGGCTGAAAAATTGACCCTCTTTTCAGCGCTCAGCCACATTGGCCCACATACGTTTCTTTCTCTCTTTTAGATTTTACTTTTTGGGTTTAATGCGGCAAATCCCCCTGTGATTTGAAAATTCGGCGCATTAGCCCCCTGTGATTTAAAAAATGCGTCAAACCCCCCTGTGTTTTAATTAATCATGCGCCAAATCCCTTATGTGAACAAATTCAATTGTCAAATAAAAGAAAAATGATTAACATTTTTGTATGATTCAGAGATTTTGACATATTTATTTGCATATTCAATCAAAATATTAGGAAAAGTGATTTTCAAATCGTTAAATTTATTCATAAAGGGGGTTCTGTGCATGATTAATTAAAACACAGGGGGGTTTGACGCATTTTTTAAATCACAGGGGGCTAATGCGCCGAATTTCCAAATCACAGGGGGGTTTGGTGCATTAAACCCTTTACTTTTTTTAGGGAACTTTTAGACTTTTACCTGTGAAGTTGGTTGCGACAATAGAAGGTACTAATTTTTTTGAAAGTGATAAACTCATTGCATTTCATTATTAAAAATGTTCATGATACAATCCCGAATAAATAAGAATTGTTTGCAACAAGCATACATGATAGATGTCTTAGCCAACATGGGCACTACCATTTGCTTGTCGCCTACGAAACACAACGTGATAACCATTGTGAGCATTCAAAAGTGATCTACAATCCTCCACGAACAATCCATATTCAGATCGAATATCCTTGTTAGAAAGCACATCATCAACAAGCTGCTTACAATCTGTTTTAAAAAATAACCTGCCGGTAAACTAAACCCGTCATCCACTTCTATTGAGGTACTAATTTTTTTGTCATCGTTTATGCTCATTCCTAATAACAATGGTTCATCAAAATATAGAGAAAATTCAAAACTAGAAATAATTCTATCAAAAGAGTAAATTAGATTACAACTTCTCAAAATAGGAGCAAATTAAATGATCTTATATTGGGAATAACATATAGTGAAAGTCTTAGTTATGAATTATGTCCTTCCTCGTTTAGCAACATTTATTTCTCTGAATTGAAACTTGATAATGTATATTTAAAATATATTTTATTAGTAAATATTAAAAATATTATATGGAAAAATAGTAAAAATAATCGCATTCGGCAAATTCAGTTAGAAAAGCAACTCTGCCTTTAACTATTTGATTATTATATAATTCATTGTGCAAAATTAAAAGTTCTGTATTTAATTAAAGAATGAACTTACAAAGCCAATAAATTGAAAAATAGGGATTCCTAAATAAAATCTTTAAATTTGTGCTAAAAAAATTAAAAGTAGTATCATATATTAAAAATAATATTTTATGCTCCTTATGAATGTTAATAAAAAGCTACATTCATGTGAATTTTAGCGATATATTGTGAATCTTTGGCTGAAGTGGCTAGATTGGCTGATTCTGCTGAAATTTATGAAGTTCTAGTTGAAATGGTTGGATTGGTTGATTTTACTGATTTATGAAAAAATTATATTCAAAATATGTTTTATTAAAAATAAAGAAAACATATGAAAAACAGCTAAAATGATCTTGTACATTAATTTTGCCAATTCATCTTGAAATGTAACTTTAAATTTACTTTTTCTTATTATTACACAATTCAGTGTGAGATATTAGAAGTTACATGTTTGGTGAAAAAAATGTTTGATAAGCTGATAAATAGGATCACCAAACGGGTTGTGTAATGCAGCATTACAATCTATACGGTCTAGTTTCTGATATGATTTTTTAATTCATTTTCACACTCGATTACTAAAAATGGCGGTTTTTTGTTTTAATATCTAAGCACAATAAATCTGATTATATATTCTTCATATCAAACCTAAACAGATGAGATCAAATTAGATGAAAAACCAAAAATACAATTAAGTTAAAAACAATGCGTGTAATATCTACATCACTAAGTATTGATTCTTAAAGCTGCATCTGCTCTTTCCGATCTTGATTCTTAAAGCTGCTTCTGCTCTTTCGGGGAGTAGAAGCAGAAATTGGAGTGTTTGGATCTGATTCTTAAAGTTGCTTCTGCTCTTTCGGGGAGCAGAAGCAGAAATTGGAGTGTTTGGGTGAAAGTGCAGAAGTGATTCAGGTGCTCTCATTTACTCCTAGAATCAGTTCTTTTAGAAGATGGGGGAGACTAACTTCTAAAAACCAATTCTGATTCTACTTCTGCTTTAAAAAAAGAAGCAGAAGTAGAATTAGTTCCAAACACCCCCTACATTCGTGGATACTACATTGGAATGGCATAAGGATGTCTCATATGCAGATTTGGAAGAGTTTCTGAGAACAGAGTTTTAGATCTGGGATTTATTCGAGCAGTTGATTAATTAAGGAAAAATGCGGTTTTAGTTCATGTAATAGTCACCATATTGAAATGTCATATTTGTATTTCCGAATTTGTAAATGTCACCACTCAATTGTTCAAATTGTTGTAAATGTAATGTTTTGATATGTGAAATGCACGATGTGGACGAGGAGTACGTTTGACCCTCAATGACCACATTGACAACAATTTATACAATTGAGGGTGACATTTATAATCACGTAATACTAGTTTGACATTTCAATATGATGACCATTTTAATAACTATAAGTATGATTTTCACTTTAATTAATTAATACTCGACCTTGTTTGAGCTTTTTATTTGCTTTTTAAACATCTCAATTAAAGGTTTTAATTTTATCTTAAAAATATTTAACATTGTTAAAAGATAAATAGTAATCATTAAATATTAAAAAACAGTACAGTTATAACGTTACGGGCAATGACCTCATTTTAACTCAAATAACCGTATTTAATTATTGTCTGAATAACCATGTCAATTTTAATGAGAAATTAAAATCGGGTCGGGTGTAGTACTTATTTTCACATGCATAAGTTGCACTACTTGTGATTCATTTTATGTGTTCTACATTTGTTTGACATAATTATTAATAAAATGATTGAAAAAATAAAAATTGTGATTAAGAATTGAATGTAATAAAATGAAAATGTTTTATACCACATATTTCATTCCAAAAGGAAATTATGACATTTATTTTTACATAACCCAAAAAAAGTAAAAATAAGACATAAAATGAGAGGGAGTATTAGGATTTTGCCATTAATGAATTGAAGGGACACCTTGGCTATGGACTATGGAGACATGGAGTGGTACACTTTTACATACGTTATTGAGAACGTGGAACATGGTTTAAGACTTCAAGCACCTAACAATTAGTTTCTTAAACATCAAGAGCCCGTTTGTCAACCCAGTTTTTTGGCTTGTCAGGCTTATCTGCCGTCAGCTTTTTCACCAAATATGTAACTTTTGTTTCCGCACGATGAATTGTGTAATAAACAGAAAAAGTAAAGTTGGAGTTACTTTTGTGGCTGTATTGGCTGAAGTTACTGTAAACGACTATTTTAGCTATTTTTACATATAATTTTTTCTTTATTTTATTAATAAAATATATTTTTAGAATTTTTTTTTTCTTAAATCAGCAGAATCACCCAATACAGCCGATTTTCGTGCTACCAAAAGGGTTCCAAATATACTTCGTAGTTCTTTGAAAATTCATAATTAATCAGGCTAAATTGGGATGATGGGTGCTAATAAAAAAGATTCACTTGTCTCTTATAACTTTGCTAACTTTCCTTTTTTGGATGTCTCATTAACTTTGACACATTGTAAAGAATTTGTTGTTTCACTTAATTCTCTCCAAATCCACGCAGTATGATTGTTCAACCAACAAAGGTCTCCCACTGAATGATTAATTAAAGAAAAAAAAAGAAGCATAAAAAAGAAGGTTTCTTTATCTGTCTGCTGATGCTGAAGCAGAGCTGCGAAGTAATAAATGCAGTGGCGAAACCAGTTACTGTATTCATCTACCCAGTTTTGAAAATTTCTTGTACTTCACTGATCCATTTAATTTCTCATGTGGGACTTAAATTCCGCCGAGCTCGGCATTATTGCTGTTGAGTTTTGAGCTCTCATTCATTATGGGCTGTGTCCTGGGGACCAGAGCTTCCGGGGAATCTCGCCGGAAGGATAAGCAGCAGCGGCCGTCAAGAAAGGACGGCGAGAGTGCTTCCGCCAGTGGCACAGCCGGACCGGCCGGTGGCCGCCGGAATCACAAGAAACAGAAACATCAGCCGCCTCCGCCGCAAGAGCTTTGCAATCTGAGGAGTTTTGCCACCAGCTCCGCCACCAACGAACAGGGGTGGCCGCTGTGGCTTGTCGACGTGGCCGGCGATGCGATTAAAGATTGGACTCCGCGACGAGCCAATACGTTCCAGAAGCTCGATAAGGTAATAACCCATCACCGATATCCTGGTCGTTAATTCTAAAGGAAGGTAAAGGATTGAAATTTGAAAGCCTTTATGCTGGAAAGCTTACTTTTTCGAGATTTCTCTTTGGATTGTTCCAAAAAATCTGTGTTTCTTTTCATTAAATGAGTGGAAACATTGAACCATCCAATCTAAAAGCTTAAGCCCACAGATCGGTTTCATTTATTGTAATCTAACTACTGTTCTCAAGACTTAATTAGTAATATTTGTCTCTCTTGTTTTGTGTGTGTTCTGGGTATGAGCATAGATAGGGCAAGGGACATATAGCAATGTATATAAAGCAAGGGACTTGGTAAGTGGGAAGATAGTAGCATTGAAGAAGGTTAGATTTGACAATTTAGAGGCAGAGAGTGTGAAGTTCATGGCAAGAGAGATATTAGTTTTGAGGAAGCTTGACCATCCAAATGTCATCAAGCTTCAAGGATTGGTTACTTCAAGAATGTCATCAAGTCTTTACCTTGTTTTTGAGTACATGGAGCATGATTTGGCTGGCCTTGCTGCTACCCATGGTGTGAAGTTCACTCACCCCCAGGTAATGTGGTTGGAATCTTTACCTTGTTTATGAATCAGGTAGCTTTATTTTAAGAAAAAATGACATATATATGACTAAAATAAGTCAATCCACAGAAATTTGATATTTCTGTAGTGGGGAGTGAATTTGGAGGGCCAGGGGAAAAAGCCCATTTATATCTATTTTATACAAATAACAAGAATTTCTACACATGAAAACACATATTTTTACTTTTTATGAAACTAAGGATTGGCCTAGGCCTAGGTTCGCCCCCCTTGCCAATGCTCATGACCATGGCCATAGTAACCATGTTGATGTTTTAATTCACTATGCAGTTATCATGGTGGCATTTTTCGGAGTAATTATAGTGATTGTGTAGTTATATTTTTTTTATGAATTTTGTTTTAGTAACTATAGTGAATTTTAATACTTTGTATCGTTTGTGATTGTCTTGCAGGTTAAATGCTATATGAAACAGTTGCTTTCCGGACTTGAGCACTGTCACAACAATGGTGTCCTGCATCGTGACATAAAGGGTTCCAACTTGCTTATTGATGATGATGGGATTTTAAAAATTGCAGATTTTGGATTAGCTTCATTTTATAATCCTGAAACCAAACAGCCTATGACTAGTCGTGTTGTCACCCTTTGGTATCGTCCCCCTGAGCTTCTACTTGGAGCTACTTACTATGGTGTTGGTGTTGATCTTTGGAGTGCTGGCTGCATTTTGGCTGAGCTACTTTTAGGAAAGCCAATCATGCCGGGGCGAACAGAAGTAAATCCCTTTTCATCTTTATCTTGATGCCCCCATTTTCTTATATCCAGGACCAGTCTGACTAAATGACAGAATCTGTATAAATTTGTGATAGAGAAGTGTTGGTTGTATCCATTTCAGCCAAATGTAATTAAATCAAAAGCTCCTTATTCTGCTGATATAATAAGCCAAAGTGTACTTCCAAACAGAGCCTTAATTTATTTTTATATTTTTCTTCATACATTTTTCAGTTTCTTTATGCTTTTCTTGCTACTCTCAATTGTGTATGGAATCATATTTATCCCGAGAAAAGCTTTTTAATCTTTAAATGTTTCACTGGATATAGGTCGAGCAACTCCACAAAATATTTAAGTTATGTGGTTCTCCTTCTGAAGAATATTGGAAGAAATCCAAGTTACCAAATGCCACAATTTTTAAACCACAGCAGCCCTATAAACGGTGTACGAAAGAGATCTTCAAGGATTTTCCACCCTCTTCATTACCTCTGGTAGAAACTCTTCTTGCCATTGATCCTAATGAGCGAGGCACTGCCACTGCAGCTTTACATAGTGAGGTAAAATTTTATTTGCTCCACTTTCCTTTTATGCATGTTTACTATTAATTGCTCCACTTTCCACTTTCGGTATCTTATTCATTTCTAAAAGACATGATCCTTACTCTTTCTACATATCCCTTATTTTCATCTTATTTCTTCACCTTTTCTTCACCTTTACTTCATCTTATTTACTTCTTCACCTTTTCTTCACTACTCACTACCCCTGCAACTTTACTCTTAATGTAAAAACACTACTGAAGGCGGGAGCTAGTAAAAGTGAACTGTGGAAGTATTATTTATAAACTGAGATTAGTTTAATCATGTTTATGAGTCATAACAGGGAACTTTATGGTTCCTGATCTTTGGTATATGTGGGACAGTTTTTTACTAGTGAGCCATATGCATGTGAGCCATCTAGTTTGCCAAAGTATCCTCCCAGCAAGGAAATGGATGTAAAGATGAGGGATGAAGCGCTCAGAAGGTTTTCATTCATTCTTTCTTAAACATTTAGAAGTAAGCTCTACATTGGCCAACTAACATTTATGCCGGATTCTTGTACCCTTTCTTAAAACAGGTTAAGAGGTGGCAATGGGAAAGCACATGCAGCTGATGGAACCAGAAAAGTAAGAGTGCGAAATAAGGTTAGCCGGGCCATTCCTGCTCCAGAGGCTAATGCAGAGCTCCAAGCCAATTTAGATGTAAGTTTGGCGTTTTCTTTCTTTCTGTGTTTTCTTTAATATCAATTAATCAATTAATAATGATGATAAAATGTGCTACACAATATAACGTTTTTACGTTTTGCATTTCAAGTGCTACACTTGCAGTGTGAATATATTGATAAAATAATCAATTATATCAGTTAAGAGCTTGTTTGGTTAGAGTTATTTTATTTTGCTCACTGTTAAATTTTATTTTATGAAAAAGTTTTGTAACATGCATCTCAGCCAAATAAATAAATCAAAAGTTGCTTATTCCAAGTCTTTTTAAATTTCTTCCTTCACATTCACTTCTTTTCCTGGCTGATTTGTTGCTATTTATTATATCCCTTTTTCACCTGAAAAGAATTATTGACCCTCTTTTAATCTTGTTTAATCCAGAGGTGGAAAGTTAGGACACAGGCTAACACAAAGAGCAAGAGTGAAAAATTCCCACCACCACATCAAGATGGGTACATTGACGCTGCCAGCGGCCCCTTATCATTTGGTGCGCCGGATGCTTCTTTTGCGTCATCAAACTTTGATGCAAAACCGTTGCATTCACTTAAACCTACTAATTCGGCCTTGGCCGGGACTTCAAAGAGAAGGAAAAAGAGGAGAGAAGAGACTTCTCATATGGCTCCCACCCGGAAGTTCTTCCATACATTTCTCCCATCTTCTGTATTGGACATTAAAGTTAGGGGTAGAACTTCAATTTCGGAGATCATGGGTCACTCAATGTAGATAGATATGTATAAAGTGATTTATGTGCCGGTGATGCATCCGAGTTTGTTGTGTTGGTCTCAATTGTTCCCTCTTTTTCCCTTTTTTTTTTTTGCTTTTTATGTATATCCAACAATTTTGTTTACAATAATATGGTTAGAGTATAATTTATCAGAGTATCACTTTCATCTACTTTCATTATCACATACACAGAAATAGATGTGAAGTCCCAAGTATATGTTGCTTGGGGTGCACTCGGGCATGTCCCGTTTCCATTTTCCAGTAACCGTGTAAATGAGACCAGAATTCCCATGTGAGATTTGGCTTCAGTCTCGAATGGGTGTGTTATGTTCTGATCTTGTACCAAATGCAAATACCACTCTTGGACCTATTGTGATTTGTGAGGAACCATACATCGATGAGCAAGTTTCAGTACTGGTTTCGTGTTACTCCCACTTAATTTTGTTTGTCCTGGCGATCATTAGTTGTTAAATTGTGGAACTGACGCTTCGTGCACATGGTACTCCCGTGCAGCAAGAACGGTGCAACTGTAGACAAATTTTGTGTCCATTTGTTGTTTTAGTTTTAATTACGGTCACTTTGTCAAAGCATCTCATATATTACCTCCCCTTTCAGCTAGGGGTGGACTCGGGCTGGGCGGCCCGCCCCGGAACCGGTTACTGTTTGAACTGGCCTGAACCGCCGGCCCGGCCAGGGACCAGTCCGGGTAGGCCCGACCTGCTGGGGTTCCGGGCCGGGCTCGGGCCCCTCAAAAGGTGAACTGGCCCGGCCGGTCCGGGCCAATTATTTTTTTTTTTTTTTTGAATTTTTTTGAAATTTTTTTAAGTTTTTGGGTTGGGCTGGGTATTTTGGGCCATTTGAGGTGGTTTGGGGGTGAGGGGGGAGGGTTGGGGGTTAATTAGGAAAAGCCAAAAAAAAAATATAAATTGAACCGAGGCCCGGTCCGACCCGACCCGGACCCGGGGTTACCCGGGCCGGTTCCGGGCCTCCCCTTTCATGAACCGAGGCCCGGCCGGGCCCAGGCCTGAACCGTGCCCGAACCAGCCCGAGTCCACCCCTACTTTCAGCTACTACACTTTTTATAAAATAAGTGTCACTTGATTTTATGAGTACTCTCTTCACTTAAAGGTTCTCATTTTCTATTTTAGAAATCAATTAACACTTTGAAAACTCCTTAACAATTAGACATCAAATATTAAAAATAATGCATCTCTAACATCATAGTTATAATCAATAACTAATAATGTTATATACCTATCAAAATTATTTTTCAAAACATATTCAAATTAGCATATTTAATTATTTTCTAAATATGCCATTTAGCAATGTGAACCTTTCAATGGGACAGGGTAATATTAGATTCATATTTGACTTTTTGCACCTATGTACATGATTTTAAATTTCCAATTGGGCCCAAAATTTGGCCAGGACTTCACAGAAAATAAACAAAATCATTTATCAAATTTGGGTAAAGTAAATAACATGGATACAATCATACAATATGAAATAGGTAACTTAGTAAAATATTCATATGAACTCAAGTGAACTAAATTTTCTAGGAAATTATGATTATTTTGGGTAATGAAAGTCATATCATAAATATTCTTATTTTTTATCTTCTGTATCCTAGTCTGTTTTATTTTTTTCGTATATTCTCTTGTTTTTTTTCATTTTTATGCTATTCATCACTCGTACAATTTTATTTTTAACTTTTGTGAAAAGCTTATAGATGCATTCATGCAGCTATCTATGAAGTGGGAAGCATGAGTTTTATGTTTAAGTAACCCACTATGATTGACTATGGCATAACAAAGATCCAAAAAGGGATAAAAAGCTTAAAGAGTAAAGAAGTTATTGTATCTTCTCTCGCAATTCAAAACCAAACAAAAGGTATGGAGTTATTGACAACCAAAATTAATACCCTGAGTTATAAAGGACTCAAACATCCACAAGTATAACAATGTTTTTACCAAGAAGCCTATTGTTGACAAAATTTTATTTTTGATAGTTCAGTATTAAACAAGGAACCCCACTTATCCACAAGTATTATGATAATATAATAAGGGAAGGGGATTTTATAACTCTGTTCTGTGTAATTAATCCTAGGCCGTGGCAGCCACCATTGGAACTGATCTGTAGCATGCCCTTTTTGCCGCGCGAACAATGTCTTCTACCTGTTGAGTCACAGGGTGTGCTTTAAGTTGTCATATGAAAGGGAGTCACACTTTCTCTTGAAATGTGTTTATGTAGCACACTGAATCGGTACTTTTATTGTTTGGCACTTCAAATAAGCCACCCCACAAACACAACTTAGAAAACTAGGCATCTATTAAGGAGAAACACCTTTTGTACATGCCGGAAGCCTTGCAGGTCATTTCACAACTGGTTTTGTCTGTGCACAGACAAATTCTTTTCATTTTTTAAGGTGAATTGTTTGTGCCACAGACAAATTATTGTTTGTACCACGGACAATTTTGTCACCTTCAAAAATGAAATAAAAAATAATCAATGTGCACAGATAAATCTGGGCGTGTAAATGGCGTGTGTATGAATTTGGCGTCTACGGGAAGCAGAAGCAATACACATACCACTGTGCTACCATTTTGTATTATTACACTCTTCCTAGCAAAACCAGTTTAAGAAATTAATGGTCCGCTCGAAATTCGGAAAAAACTTGGGGAAGAAAATAAGCTATAAAATAGATAGACTTGTAAGGAAAGAAAATTTATGTTGGAAAGCTACAAAATGGTTCATCATCATTATCATTACCCCAGTGCCGCAAAGGCTCCCACCAATGGTGGGGTAAGGGGGGTCAGATGTACACGGTCTTACCCCTGTGCTTACTGTACTTAAGCACAGAGAGGCTGTTTCCGGATGGCCCAAAGTGAGAATCGCGCCAAAAATTGCATGGACGAACGGTTGCTTCATAACAAAGAAGCACAGACAGTTTAGTGAGCCATTTTGTTTTATTCCATCATATTCCCAAGCCAAAAAACAGCGAGTCTTTGGCTCCATTGCAAATGATGGAAAAAAAAACTACAAAATGGTTCAATCTCAATAAATCAAATATAGATACTTGTTTGAACTTGTCTTATTTCTAAACATTTCTACTCTACAAACATTTTGGTCTAAAAGGAATATGGAATCTGGGGAGCACAAACCTGTGGGAGAGCCAATCTTTCAAGATTTGCTGCATAAGGCATAGGAACATCTGCCCCGGCTATCCTTTCAATGGGTGCATCAAGGTACTCAAAGCTTTCCTCAACTACAGATGCACTGATGAAATGAAATACAAAACAAACATGCAGAAGTTAGAATGATAATGATATTAAAGGAAGATGACAATAATAACATAAATATATGATAAAATTATGGAGGTCAGGAGCTAATGGATTGTTCAAGGTGGGAGCGGTTACCAGATTTCAGCGCCTACACCATGTTGAGGAAACCCTTCCTCAACTGTTACTAGTCTGCTGGTTTTCCTAACAGATGCATTGATGGTAGATCTATCAAGTGGTCTGATTGAGCGCAAATTAATAACCTGATGATCACAAGTGAATGAGTTAAATACAATAGAGATATGAATAATGTAAATAAATGTAATCCTGGTTTAAGATATTAATAGAAACATAATAATACATCCTTCAATCCAAAGAAACAAAATTGGAAAATGGACTCTAGAGTACCTCAGCAGTGATTCCTTCCTTTGCAAGAACATCAGCAGCCTAAAAAATGTTAAAATTCAAATTCAGATTCAAACAAGATAATGAATTTCAGTATAAAAAACGTGTGCAAAGGACATGTATGGTGAATCCCATATACATGTTGGATAAAGAATGGCAAACCTTGAGAGCATAGCCAACCATTTTAGAGAAAGTAGCGATTGTAACATCTTTTCCTTCGCGCTCAATCTGTAAAATGATTGTTTTAAGTGAAAGAACACAACTATATCAATCAATGACCAGAAAACTAAATTTGAAGTGTAGGAGGGAACTTACTTTAGCTTTTCCAATTGGAAGACAAAAACTAGAATCTAGAACTTCAGCTGAAACAGGAAAGGACTCGCCATATCTGGAGCAGAGATACTTGATTACCAGTTTGCCACTAAAACAGAACAAATAGAAAAACTCCACACCATGTTACTTACAGCAACTCATTTTCAAGGAAAATTACAGGATCTGGGTCCCTTATAGCAGCCTTTAGAAGGCCGCGAGCATCTTCAGAAGAATATGGAGATAGTACCTTCAGTCCTGGGCATGCAGCAAACCATGCTGCATAGCACTGCAATAGGTCTCAGCTATAAGGTATAATCTGGCAAGTTTTTTAAATCTTCTCAAATGATTGAATATATTTGCAACTGAGATATAGCAAAATATAATCCTAGTCACAAACAACATATGATTTCGAAAAACAAAAGTTAAAAGAATCATTTTGGAACTCACAAAATGTCAGGGAAAGAAAATAGTGAGGAAAAAAGAGAGTAATTATGGAATCAAATAAAATTTTGGGGGAAATTAACAAATTATCTGAAGTCAATAAAAATAATCATGATTGTTAAACTACAAATGCTCGCATGGATCGGTAGGGGCTTGGTAGATTGTATCTAGCGGATTGTAAAATCTCAAACTCAAGCTATCATTTATTTTTCTTGATAAATTCATTAATTTAATGACTCAAATATTTTATAATTCACCCAAAATAATAATAATCGATAAATAAAATAACATATCTTGATAACCATACATTCCTAAAAGAACATTGTAACTATATAATGAAAGACTTAAACCAAATAAAAACAAATACAAAGACAAATAGAAAGAATGGGTTTTTAGAAGTAATAGAAGTAGTGGGAGTTGAACAATAAGCAGTGATTCACAGTTCCGATTGAGATGCTAGGTTAATTTCGCTTCAGAGTTCAGACATCCTATTAAAAAGAAAAATACTAGAAACCCAGAGTTTCTGAAACCCTAATAGATTAGTAAAAAGGGTTTCCCAATTCTTTTTAATCACGGAACAGGAATTTGAAGTTCCCGAATTCCTAACACGCTTCCAAGTTCCCAAGAACCATCAGATGTTTCCATGCTTCTTAGGCGTGAAGTTATACCTGGGAATGTTGGGCCCCAACACCAGCTGCAGCTCCATTTGGTCCTCTGAAAACTATAG